TGCGTAGCCTTTTCGAATTCAGGGCGAGCATCATGAGCATCAGCGGCGTGGCTTTTTCGAATCCTCCAGCAGTGGGGTGAGCATCATGAGCATCAGCGGCGTGGCTTCTTCGAATCCTCCAGCAGTGGGGTGAGCATCATGAGCATCAGCGGCGTGGCTTCTTCGAATTCTCCAGCAGCGGGGCGAGCATCATGAGCATCAGCGGCGTGGCTTCTTCGAATTCTCCAGCAGTGGGGTGAGCATCATGAGCATCAGCGGCGTGGCTGTTTCGAATTCTCCAGCAGTGGGGCGAGCATCATGAGCATCAGCCGTACAGGCGTACTTGGCGCTTTCGATTTCTCCCGCTGCGGCCTGCAAGGGCCCTGCATATCACCTGGTAGTGGGGGGTCTTGGAAGGCTCCTGCGAACTTATCGACGTTTGGCCAGGTGGCCTAGGAGCCTCCCCCCGCAAGACTCCGGTCTCTGGAAGGTTTTCGGGAGGCGTTTGGGAGGCCGGAGGCCAATTACAAATCTCCGAAAAAGCCTCAACGCTAAAAAAAGATTCCTAAGAAAGCCGACGTCCCCCAGTGCTTTGGCGGCTGCTCGGCCTTCCTTCACCCACGGTTTAGGGTTTAGGGTTTAGGGATTGTCGCCATGCGCCTTGGCAGTCCGGAATCGATGTAGAAAGCAATGAGAAGGCCCTCCTGCCGAAGACGCCCCCCAACGCAAAGCTTGAAGATGCTCAGTGTCCTGCGCATGGCAATCCGGAGTCGTCGGAACATCTTTGCTAAAAGGTTTCGCCACGCATGAGGAAAAGAATGAGAAGGCCCTCCGGCCGAAGACGCCCCCCAGCGCGAAACCTAAAACTTCGGGGGTCCGCCAACGCGAAACCCAAAGTTTAACTCGGATGCTTCCGGCTTTCTGACTTCACCCTTTCACAAAAAGTCTTCGTATGTTTATGGTCAAATTCCGTGCGCGCAGCCTCAAAAACCCGAAGCGTAGTGTCTTCTGCGGAGGTATGCAAAATCTGCTTGTCTGGCTCGGGTTCGATCGGCTCCGGTTGGTTTCGTTTTGAGTAGTGTTTGGGTGGCCTCGGGGTGGGCATGTCTGCATAGTACTGCACGCTTACCAACGCGCGACCTGAACCTTAAACCCTAAACCCACAACCCATAAAACCCATAAAACCCATAATACCCATAGCACCCACAAAACCCATAAAACCCATAAAACCCATAAAACCCATAAAACCAAAAAAACCAATTATGCCGGCGAAGACCCCAAACAGTAAGATTGTAGATGAAGGGAAAGCGGCATGAAACAATAAGGCGACGCGTAGAACTCGGCAGGCCGAGTTTACAATCAAAAAAACTGGGCTCAGTATGGAGGCGGTCGGAACAACCCTTTCCCAATCCAAACGAGGGATTGACATGGATGTCCAAGCGCTGCCCACATGCATTTTGCCAGGCCTGAAAAATGCATTTGGTCTTGCTTTCTACATTTGCAACGCCATGCTCTCTCTTTCTGTACTTTTTCAAAGGCGAAAACAGGTGAGTGCATTTAGGCACGCGCGAAAAACGCAGTTTCCTTATTCGTCTCTTCTGCACGCAGCTTGTCTTTACGACGAAGGATCAGCTCTTAACTCAATTCTATTGCGGTTGTGGAAGGAGCAAGCTACGCGAATGCATTTTGCCCACTTAAAAAATGCACCTGAGCATGTTCTTCCTGATTCTGGGTCTGTTTCGGTACTCCTGCAAGATGCCGAACATTGTTCTAAACGCGTTTTTCAATTCCTATAGCTACTTTTATGCACAGAAAACACATCAGAAGAATCGAATACGTCATGAGCCAGCAGAAACCAAGACTAAACATGATAGGAAACCAGTGCCAAATGCATTCTTCGGGCGACGAAAAATGCATTTGGAATGCCCTAGACATGCATGTCGGGTAGATGTTGGTCGTAAAACACCAACCTACATTTTTGTTTTGTTTTCGTTTGCTTTTCATGCTGTAATGGAGCAAAGATAACCCAATAGACATGGATGACCAGACGCTGCCGAATCCATTTTGCCAGGCCTGAAACACGCATTTGGTCTTGCTTTCCACATGTGCAAGGCCGCGTGCTCTTTTCGCACTTTTTCAAAGCGAAAACAGCTGAATGCATTTGAGCACGGGCGAAAAATGCATTCGGACTTTGGTTTCTTCCGTACGGGGCCTCTGTCTTTGACACAAAAGTCAGTTATCAAGTGAGTCTTTTATTGTGGTTTTGGAAGGAGCAAGCTGCGCGAATGCATTTTGCCTGCTTTGCAAAATGCATCTGGGCATGTTGCTTCTGATTTTGGGCCCCTTTTCGGGAGTTTCGCAAAACGGTGATTATGGTTCTACACGCGTTCAAATCCTATATATAGATGTTCTTATGCGCAGAAAGACATCAAATTTCGAAGAAGTCATGAGCCGGCAGAACCCAAGATTGCAACATGATAGGAAACCAGTGCCAAATGCGTTTTTCGGGCGACGAAAAATGCATGCGGAATGCCCTCAGATGCATGTCGGGGAAATGTTGGTTGTAAAACACCAACCGACTTTTTTGTTTTGTGTTTGCTTGTTTTGATGCTGTAATGGAACAAGACAACTCAATAGACGTGGCTGTCCAAGCGCTGCCCGAATGCATTTTGCCAGGCTTAAAGAAGCATTTGGTCTTGCTTTCCACATTTGCAACGCCATGCACTCTTTGTGCACTTTTTAGAAGGCGAAAGCAGCTGAATGCATTAAAGCGCCGGCGAGAAATGCATTCGGACAGGGGCTTCTTCTGTACGCAGCCTCTGTCTTTACGACAAAAGATCAGCTTTTAACTCAAGTCGATTGTGGGTTGTGGAAGGAGCAAGCTGCGCGAATGCATTTTGCCCACTTAAAAAATGCACCTGAGCATGTTCTTCCTGATTCTGGGTCTGTTTCGGTACTCCTGCAAGATGCCGAACATTGTTCTAAACGCGTTTTCAATTCCTATAGCTACTTTTATGCACAGAAAACACATCAGAAGAATCGAATACGTCATGAGCCAGCAGAAACCAAGACTAAACATGATAGGAAACCAGTGCCAAATGCATTCTTCGGGCGACGAAAAATGCATGTGGAATGCGCTCAGATGCATGTCGGGTAGATGTTGGTCGTAAAACACCAACCTACATTTTTGTTTTGTTTTCGTTTGCTTTTCATGCTGTAATGGAGCAAAGATAACCCAATAGACATGGATGACCAGACGCTGCCGAATGCATTTTGCCAGGCCTGAAACACGCATTTGGTCTTGCTTTCCACATGTGCAACGCCGCGTGCTCTTTCTGCACTTTTTCAAAGCGAAAACAGCTGAATGCATTTGGGCACGGGCGAAAAATGCATTCGGACTTTGGTTTCTTCCGTACGGGGCCTCTGTCTTTGACACAAAAGTCAGTTATCAAGTGAGTCTTTTATTGTGGTTTTGGAAGGAGCAAGCTGCGCGAATGCATTTTGCCTGCTTTGCAAAATGCATCTGGGCATGTTGCTTCTGATTTTGGGCCCCTTTTCGGGAGTTTTGCAAAACGGTGATTATGGTTCTAAACGCGTTCAAATCCTATATATAGATGTTCTTATGCGCAGAAAGACATCAAATTTCGAAGAAGTCATGAGCCGGCAGAACCCAAGATTGCAACATGATAGGAAACCAGTGCCAAATGCGTTTTTCGGGCGACGAAAAATGCATGTGGAATGCGCTCAGATGCATGTCGGGGAAACGTTGGTCGTAAAACACCAACCGACTTTTTTGTTTTGTGTTTGCTTGTTTTGATGCTGTAATGGAACAAGACAACCCAATAGACGTGGCTGTCCAAGCGCTGCCCTACTGCATTTTGCCAGGCTTAAAGAAGCACTTGGTCTTGCTTTCCACATTTGCAACGCCGTGCTCTCTTTGTGCACTTTTTAGAAGGCGAAAACAGCTGAATGCATTAAAGCGCGGGCGAGAAATGCATTCGGACAGAGGCTTCTTCTGTACGCAGCCTCTGTCTTTACGACAAAACATCAGCTTTTCACTCAAGTCGATTGCGGGTTGTGGAAGGAGCAAGCTGCGCGAATGCAATTTGCCCGCTTTGAAAAATGTGTCTGAGCATGTTCTTTCTGATTCTGGGTCCACCCTGCCTCCGCCCCTCTCAACCCCTGTCGCTCATGATCGGAGACCATGCCACGTCACACCCCATTCACTCGTGATCAAAGACCATCGGAGACCACGGACCCTGTCGCTCGCCACGGACCCGAATCGCGTGACACCCGCCCGGCCCCATAGCGCTCATGGTCGGAGACCATGGGAGACCACGAATCCAAGCGTGTGACACCCTCTCATCATGATCGGAGATCATGGGAGACCACCGACCGGACCGCGTGACACCCGCCAGCCCATGACCCAAGCGCATGAACACCCTCCCAGCGCCTGTAGCTGTAGCTCACCACGGACCCGAACCGCGTGACACCCGCCGGCTCCATTGCGCTCATGGTCCGAGACCATGGGAGACCACGAATCCAAGCGTGCGACACCCTCTCAACCCCCGTCGCTGCGTCGCTCGTGATCGGAGATTACGGGAGACCACGGACCCGGACCGCGTGGCACCCGCCAGCCAATGATCGGAGACCCAAGCGCGTGAACACCCTCCCCACGCCTGTAGCTAACCGCGTGCCCGGCCCCATTGCGCTCATGGTCGGAGATTATATGGGAGACCACAAATCCAAGCGTGCGACACCCTCTCAACCCCTGTCGCTCATGATCGGAGATCACGGAGACCACGGACCCGGACCGCGTGACACCCGCCAGCCCATGATCGGAGACCCCAAGCGCGTGAACACCCTCCCAATGCCTGTAGCTCACCACGGACCCGAACCGCGTGACACCCGCCCGGCCCCATTGCGCTCATGATCGGAGACCACGAACCCAAGCGCGTGACACCCTCTCAACCCCTGTCGCTCATGGTCGGACGCCGTGACAGGAGACCATGGGAGACCATGGACAAGCGCGCGACACCCCCCAGATGATTTATGGGAGACCATCAAGCGCGTGACACCCTCGAACCCCTGCCACTCACCACGGACCCGAACAGCGTGACACCCGTCCGGCCCCATTGCGCTAATGATAGGAGACCATGTGAGACCACGAATCCAAGCGCGTGACACCCTCTCAACCCCTGTCGCTCACGAGCGGAGATCATGGGAGACCACGGAGCCGGATCGCGCGACACCCGCCCAGCCCCAAGATCCGAGAATCTGGGAGACCATGCACCCAGCGCGTGACACCCTCCCAAGCTTGTTGCTCACCGGAGTCCATGGGAAACTGCGGACCCGAACCGCGTGACACCCTCCCAGCCCCATTTGCTCATGACCGGAGACCATGGAAGACCAGGGACTCAACCGTGACACCTTCCCAACCCTTGTCGCTCATGATTGGAGACCGTGGGGGAACACGGACCCGAACCGCGTGACACCCACCCGGCCCCAGTGCGCTCACAACCCTTATGATCGGAGACCATGCGAGACCGCGGACCCGAGCCGCGTGACACCCACCCAGCCCACTGCACTCATGATCGGAGACCAGACCCGCGTGACACCCTCCCAACCTCGGTCGCTCATGATCGGAGACCGTGATCACGGACCCGGACCATTTCGCTCATGAGCGGAGACCATGGGAGACCACGGACCCAAGCGCGTGACACCCTCCCAACCCCTGTCGCTTCGGAGACCATGGAAACATGGACCGCGTGACACGGCCCGAAGCGCGTGACACCCGCCCGCCGTGGCCCAATTGTGCTCATGATCAACACCCGCCCGGCCCCAATGGCCCCAATTGTGCTCATGATCGGAGACCATGGGAGAGCACAGGCCCGAAGCGCGCTGAAGCGCGTGACACCCACCCGGCCCCAACGGCCAATTGGGAGACCACAGGCCCGAAGCGCGTGACACCCACCCGGCCCCAATGGCCCCAATTGTGCTCATGATCGGAGACCATGGGAGACTACAGGCCCGAAGCGCGTGACACCCACCCGGCCCCAATGGCCCCAATCGTGCTCATGATCGGAGACCGTGGGAGACCACAGGCCCGAAGCGCGTGACAGCCACCCCGCGCCAATGGCCCCAATTGTGCTCATGATCGGAGACCATGCCAGACCACAGGCCCGAAGCGCGTGACACCACCCGGCCCCGATGGCCCCAATTGCGCTCATGATCGGAGACCATGGGAGACCACAGGCCCGAAGCGCGTGACACCCATCTGGCCAAGCGCGTGACACTTTTTTTTCTGAGGAGAGGACCCCAAACGGTTCCTGTTTGGGGAATAAAACCCAACCAAAAGAACCCACAGAACCCATAAAGCCCATAAAGCCCATAAAGCCCATAAAACCCATGAAACCCAAAAAACCCTAAACCCGAAACCCGAAACCCGAAACCCGAATCCCTAAACCCTAAACCCTAAACCCTAAACCCTAAACCGTAAACCCTAAACCCTAAACCCCAAACCCCAAACCCCAAACCCCAAACCCTAAATCCTAAACCCTAAACCCTAGCCGAGGTGCATCCTTCTTTGGAGCTTGCGAGTTTACAAAGATCTTCGACGTTTGGGGCTGGTCCTTGAGGCTAGCGGGGGGTTTCACGGACCTCCAAAACCCTAGACCCTCACAACCCACCGTAGGGTAGCTTCCATGGTTTAGGGTTCAGGGTTTAGGGTTTAGAGTTTAGGGTTTAGGGTTTAGGGTTTAGGGTTTAGGGTTCCCTTAATTTGGGCCCTTGAGTCGGGACCCCTGGTATCCCCCTATTCTAGACATCCAGGGGCCCATACTTCAGAGCCCTTCAAAGAAGGTAAGGGAACATATTCAGGGACCCCTAAACCCTAAACCCTAAACCCTAAACCCTAAACCCTAAACCCAAACCCTAAACCCTAAACCCTAAACCCTAAACCCTAAACCCTAAACCCTAAACCCTAAACCCTGTAACAGGACCCTGTAGCTAACGACAAAACGTAACCTTTCAACTACGAGTTCCCCGAAACCCGAAAGTCTCAAATCGTAGCCTTACATCTTAAGGGTTTTAGGGTTTTTAGGGTTTAGTGTTTTTAGGGTTTAGGGTTTTTTAGGGATTAGGGTTTAGGGTTTAGGGTTTAGGGTAGTGCTCGGATGACTTTTTAGGAGCTGAGGCCCGATCATCAACGCAATGCAATCAAGCATGGGCCCTAAAGACTCCTCCCCCAAACCCTAAACCCTAAACCCTAAACCCTAAACCCTAAACCCTAGACCCCAAACCCTAAACCCTAAACCCTAAACCCTAAACCCTAAACCCTAAACCCTAAACCAACCGGTGAAGCCCCAAAGCCTAAATCTCTCAACTCTTAAGCACACGCCGAGATTTCCTAAACCCCAAATCCTAAACCCTAAACCACAAGAAGAAGTCTTCGACTGTTGGAAGCTTCATAGCGACATGTCCACCTCGGGCAATCTAAGGGCAGTTATACTTAGTAGCGGAGGAGGTAACCTTTAACCTTTTTGGGGTTTATACAATCAGGGTACTCAGCCCCTAAGTATATGGGTCCTTAAGATGGCCCCCTTACGTTTTTTAAAGGGTTCTGACTGCCCTTGGGGATTGTATAGGGTCCCCTTTTCAGGGCCTCTACTAAGGGACCATGAGACTACCCTAAGTGGTTCAGCTCGAGGGCCTGATGGCCCTCAGGCCCCCCCAGCCTCTGACGGCAAACGCGTCCCTCAACGCATCGTAGACGCCACAAGGGGAGAGTCTGCAGAAGAAGGGGCTCCATCTGCAAGGAACCTACGAATTCTCACCAGGGAAACCCTCAAACTCTGCACCCTAAACCCGAAACCCTGCACCCTTAAGTGCCGTCTGGAGAGACCCAGTGATAGCAAGAACTTTCTCTCCATAGGAGCACCTTGAAGTTGGGTTTAGGGTTTAGGGTTTAGGGTTTAGGGTTTAGGGTTTAGGGTTTAGGGTTTAGGGTTTAGGGTTTAGGGTTTAGGGTTTAGGGTTTAGAGTTTAGGGTAAAGGGGTTTAGGGTTTAGGGTTTAGGGTTTAGGGTTTAGGGTTTAGAAACCCTGCTGTCCTCGTGAGGCTTGGTCATATCTTCCCAGAGCTGACGACACGGTGCTCGACGAAGAGAACGGCTTCAAAGTGATCTCCGAGAATCGCTACTATGGATCCTGGGGCCTTGCGGTTCAGAAACTTAAACTTAGGGTTTAGGGTTTAGGGTTTAGGGTTTAGGGTTTAGGGTTTAGGGTTTAGGGTTTAGGGTTTAGGGTTTAGGGTTTAGGTTTCGTTGCCACTATTTTTGAAAACCATGTTGGTTGCCATGTCTCCCTATGGTAGCAACCCCTAGATAACCCTACCCCGCTTTGAGCCCTAAACGTAGAATTATGGAGCTTCCTGAAAAGCAGCCCCCCCTAAACCCTAAACCTCAAACCCTAAACGCCCAGGATTCGGGACCGTCTCATTGTTTCGCTTTGGCATGGATGTTATGCTGCTAGTTGCTGGGGTCCGCCTCTTGGCGTCCACAACATCCATCTCAAGTTTGATTCTGGATGCCGCGGCTCGCCTGGCATAGGGTTTAGGGTTTAGGGTTTAGGGTTTGGGGTTTAGGGTTTAGGGTTTAGAGTTTAGGGTTTAGGGTTTAGCGTCTAGGGTTTAGTAATTTAGGGTTTAGGGTTTAGGGTTTTGGCCTACTGGCAGGTTCATGGATAGCTATCAGTAGGGCTTGGGGATGGCCATAGGTAGGGTCTAGGGTTGAGGGGGCTGCCAAAGTTCTAAGTTCTCTCTGTGACCTGGTGTCTTGGAACTCGAGATATAGCCACCCAAAACCCTTGCAAAAGGCAGGCTGCAGAGCTTGATTCCCAAAACGCCCCCTTGAAGCCCTAACCCCCCCCCCCCCCCTTCCCCCAATCTCCTGAAACAACCGCGAGCCTCCTCAGCGACTAAACGCCGCAAAGCCCACAAAAGCCCTAGAACTGAAAGCCTGAAGCCCTCAACCCCAAACGCCCCCCTGAACCCCGAACCCCTGAACCGCACACCCTAAAACCCTAAACCCCAAGCCTTAAACCCCAAACCCCAAGCCCTAAACCCTAAACACTAAACCCCAAGCCCTAAACCCTAAACCTCAAGCCCTCAACCCCAAGCCCTAAACCCTAAACCCCAAACCCTAAACCCCAAGCCCTAAACCCGAAACCCCAAACCCCAGACCCCAAACCCTAAAGCCCCGGCAGGTCGCCCTGGAGGCGATCTTGGACATCGACGACTTTTTGTTCTATGCCCTGGCACCCATGAGCTCCCCGAGCTACGAAAAGTCTTAGGGTTTAGTGGTGTGGGGTTTAGGGTTTAGGGCTTAGGGTGAGGGTTTGACGGTTTTTGGGGTTTGAGTCTAGGGTTCAGGGTTCTTAGGGTTAAGGCTACAATTGCCTTTGAGAGCTTGTTGGTTCTTCATTGTTTTGGGCTACTTCAGCAACTTCTGAGCCCGACGCCCTGGAACCCCAAATTCCGAAAATTCTAATCACCCCCCCCAATAAACCCTAAACCCTAGACCATGAACTTCGTTCCTTGGGTTGGTAGGTGTTGCTTGAGTGGATTTCGGGGCAGAGGCATGCTGGTGCTTGGTGTGGTTCTGTCAGATGGGACATTGCATTGGATCCTTGCTTGCACAAGTGTCGAAACCCGAAAGCCCAAGTGAACTGACGTTGGAGGGCAACAAAAAAGGCAGAAGCTCCGAACCCTGCCACCCTAAACCCTCAACCACCCTTAAACCCCCCCCCCCAAAACCCTAAAACCCCAAACCCTAAACCCTAACCCCTAAACCCCCCAAAACCCTAAAACCCCAAAGCCCTTGTGAGGTAGCCGGCTGGCCATCCAAAGCATTCAGCCGATGAAGGCAATGGCCCCGAGTTAGAGCTTTTGCGGGTTTAGGGTTTAACGTTTAGGGTTTAAGGCGTTGGAAGAAACGCGGTGTCTAGGTGGTTAGGGTTCGGGG